CCTTGCTTCTAAGGAGCATTCTGGTTGTACTTCTTCCAAGACAGATTTGTTCATTCTTCTGGCAGTCCATGGTATATTCAGTGTTCTTCACCAGCACCACAATTCAAAGGCATCAATTCTTCTTTGGTCTTTCTTATTGATTGTCCAGCTTTCACATGCATATAAGGCGATTGAAAACACAATGGCTTGGGTCAGGCACACATGAGGCTTCACGGTGACATCTTTGCTTTTTTAACAAAAAAAGTCTTTTGCAACAGATTTGCCCAGTGCAATGCTTTGTTTGATTTCTTGACCGCTGCTTCCATGGGCATTGATTGTGGATCCAACTAAAATGAAATCCTTGACAACTTCAATCTTTTCTCCGTTTATCATGATGTTGCTTGTTGGTCCAGTTGTAAGGATTTTTGTTTTCTTTATGTTGAGGTATAATCCACCTCCTCTTCTGAATCTGGCTTGAATTTCTGGCAGTTCCCTGTCAATGTATTGCTGCAACCATTTTTTAATTTCTTCAGGAAAATTTTGCTTGCATGTAATGTTAATGATATCGTTCGATAATTTCATGTTCTGTCGGATCACCTTTCTTTGGAATGGGCACAAATATGGATCTCTTCCAGTTGGTTGGCCAGGTAGCTGTCTTCTAAATTTCTTAGTATAGACGAGTGAGCACCTCCATCATTGCATCCATTTGTTGAAATATCTCAGTGGGTATTCTGTCAATTCCTGGAGCCTTGTTTTTCGACAAAGCCTTCAGTGCAGCTTGGACTTCTTCATTTAGTACCATCAGTTCTTGATCATATGCTGCCTCTGGAAATGATTGTCCACCAATTCTTTCTGGTACAGTGACTCTGTGTATTCCTTCCTTCTTCGTTTCATGCTTCCTGCATTGTTCAATATTTTGCCCATAGACTCCTTCAGAACTGCAACTCGAGGCTGGAATTTTTTCTTCAGTTCTTTCAGCTTGAGAAATATGGAGCATCTTCTTCCCTTTTGTTTTTCTAACTCTAGGTATTTGCACATTTCATTGTAATACTTTGTCTTCTCTAGCTGGCCTTAGAAGTCTTCTTTTCAGCTTTTTTACTTCATCATTTCTTCCTTTCGCTTTAGCTACTCCTACGTTGAAGAGCAAGTTTCAGAGTCTCTTCTGACATCCATATTGGTCTTTTCTTTCTTTCTTGTCTTTTCAGTGACCTTTTGCTTTCTTCATGTATGATGTTCTTGATGTCATCTCACAACTCATCTGATCTTTGGTCATTAGTGTTCAGTGCATCAACTCTGTTCTTGAGATAGTCTCTACATTCAGGTGGAATATACTCAAGGTCGGATTTTGGCTCTCCTGGACCTGTTTTAATATTCTTCAGCTTCAACTTGAACTTGCATTTAACCAGTTGATGGTCTGTCCCACAGTCAGCCCCTGGCCTTGTTCTGACTGATGATACTGAGATTTTCCATTGTCTCTTCCCACAGATATAGTCGATTTGACTCCTGTGTTTTCCTTCCAGTGAGGTCCATGTATATAGTCGCCATTTGTGTTGTTGAGGAAAGGTATTTGCAATGAATAAGTCGTTGGTCTTGCAAAATTCTATCATGCGATCTCTGGTGTCGTTTCTATCACCAAGGCCATATTTTCCAACTACCAATCCTCCTTTGTTTCCAGCTTTTACATCCCAGTTACCAATAATTATCAATGCATCTTGATTGCATGTTTGATCGATTTCAGACTGCAGAAGTTGATAAAAATCTTCAATTTCCTCATCTTTGGCATTAGTGGTTGGTGCATAAATTTGAATACTAGTTGTATTAAGTGGTTTTCCTTGAAGGCACATTGATATTATCCTGTCACTGACAGCATTGTACTTCTAGATCTCGAAATGTTCTTTTTGTCGATGAACCTAATGCCATTCCTCTTCAGTTTGTCATTCCTAGCATAGTACACCATATGATTGTCTGATTCAAAATAGCCAATACCAGTCCATTTCAGTTCACTGATACCTAGGATATTGATCTTTATGCATTCTGTTTCATTTTTGATGACTTCTAATCTTCTAGATTCATACTTCCTACATTCTACGTTCCAATTATTAATGGATGTTTACAACTATTTCTTCTCATTTTGAGTTGTGCCACATCAGGAAATGAAGGTCCCAAAAGCTTTACTCTATCTATCTATGTCATTAAGGCCAACTCTACTTTGAGAAGGCAGCTCTTCCCCAGTCGTATTTTGAGTGCCTTCCAACCAGAGGGGCTCATCTTCTGTCACTATATCAGACAGTGTTCTGCTGCTGTTCATAAGGTTTTCACTGGCCAATTTTTTCAGAAGTAGACTGCCAAGTCCTTCTTCCTAGTCTGTCTTAGTGTGGAAGCACCACTGAAACCTGTCCACCAGACACATCGTGGTTATAGACCATACTCGTTGTATTTCCCAAACTCTGTTCTTCAAAACACTAGTACTTCCCCAAAAATTGTTTATACAGTCAAACTCTGCCTACTAGTGTATCCCTTTTCTTTGAGATTCAAGAGTGTATTATAACACATTAAAAATTATGAGGATCCTGTAGTAAAACAGAACAACAACAAATAAAAACTAGTTTGGCTTAATTCAGCATTGCCTCACTTAATTGACTGTAGAATCTTCTTTTGAGGAATAATTATTGATAATCACTGATATCCTGTGGAACATAATTGGGGAAATACTAATCTAGACTGTGAAAAAAATTGGTCCTCTTCTGTTTCATCTATATCCTGAAGAAAAGCTTTTTTTTTTCCTAAATGCTCATAAACTAAGCTTCACAACTCCCTGTTACGAGAGAGTTTCTCCCCTTTTGGCCTGAAGCAGAGCTTAATAAACTGAGATTGATGTTTGCATTGCTCCATCATGTAAGTGTTTAACGAAAAAGGAAACACCAGCTATTCTAAAATCCCTTTTCAGCTTTTCCATGAAGCATAAGGTGACCCTAAAGTCACCGAACTACTTCTGCGTAAAATGACTTAGACCATGCCCTGGAACTTTGGCCTTCCCATTATTATTTTGGTTGCACACGATCTGTTATTTTGGCACATGTTGTTTTCCTATTGTTCTAGAACAGAATTTGTTCAGAGGTACTTAATCATTGCTTTTATCTTTTACAGAGAATTTAGCAAACCTTTACTTCCTGTTGGAAGAACTGGGGTCTTGCTTTCTGAAATATTGCACCTTCTATGCAAACAAATGGTGAGTGTTAAACTCCTGAGTGTCAGACTCAGTAGCATATTAGAGAGGACAGGATCTTGATATTGGGTTATCTGTGAACAGCTGAGGACTCAGTGTGCAAGTAATTCTATTTCCTTTTACTATTATCTCTGTTTTAACCTAGCTTCTTTCTGAGGTGTATTTGTTCTTCTGTGTACTAGTAACTTGGGTAAAAATTGTCTAATCTCAACTAAATGTGGTGTAATTCTAAAGAATCTCAAGATATGTTTGATTAGCAATTAGTAATTTTGTCCTTTCAAAACAAAACTCTACATTATTTATACTTTTTAGTAGATTTTAATGAAAATTTCTCTGCTTTCAAAGCAAGATAGGATTCACAAAATGATCAGATCTGGATCACTGGCTAGTTAATCTGATTAGAATAACCAAAAAAACCAAACTCATTGCCATCTTGTTGATTCCAACACATAGCGACCCTGTAGGACAGAGTAGAACTGCCCCATAGGGCTTCCAAGGCTGTAATCTTCATGGAAGCAGACTTCCACATGTTTCTTCTGCAGAGCAACTGGTGGATTCAAACCATCGACCTTTCAGTTAGTCGCTGAGCGCTTAACCACTGCGCCACCAGGTCCCCTTAAACTGATTAGAAGTAGGTGGTAAAAATGATTCTACAAGATTGTGAATTTCTATCTTAAAGTTAGTTTAATTTATTTTACTTTAATAAATACTTACTGTACAATTATTCTCTGCGAAACTCTATGCTAGGCCCTCAGTCTACAAAAATAACTTAGCCTTCAAAGAATTTATAGGCTAGAGGGGAAGACAGACAAGTCTAAACCAGTAGTTTCGAAAGAGTCTGAAAGTGCTATATGAGGGGTCTAAGAGGTTAGGAAAGTGTCATGGCATCACAACAAATGTGATGGGACACCTAGGGTGAGAGATGTCAAAACAGAACAGAACTCACATGAAAATTCTGGAGACATTTCTGATTTATTCAAACCTGAGCCACAGATGATGGAATGATAGATTTCAGTGCTTTAAAAGCATTCATTTGAAAAAATGCTTTATAAGCATTGGAAAAAAAAGTTTTCATTTCTGCCTCTGAATCTACAGAAGTCCTTCTGTATTGTATTTGTGTAATAGTTATTCATAGATAGGTATACTAAATAGCCTGGTCTCTAGTTCTAGCTGATTATTTGTTTGTTTGATGGTACTAAAATTTTTACTGAACCCCAATTTGTATGTCTAAAATTCCCTCCTCCTCTCTTACCTGCTTGACTTTCGCCTGTATTCAAAACTCAAATTCTTGTTTACCTTTTTTTAATAGAAACAGAAAGCAAATTCCCACTTCTCCTAAATAAAGCCAAATTTTCGCAGAGCATAAGCTCTGGAGTCAGCCTGAGTTCAAATCTTGCCTACACCAAGTTATCAGCTGTGCCTTGGGCAAGTTACTCTTTGAAATAATGCTTGCTTCATAGATGACAGTTGCCTCAAAGCCTGACATTTTCCTTCATCAGTGTGACTTTTGTTCAGGCAGTGGGCTTGCATGTCCTTTCCAGTGGACCTGCACCTTAGTTTTCCAGATAACAGCAGCTTGTCTCTGTTGTTTCTTGGGCTCAACCTTGTGCTTCTTGCTCTTGAAACACTTCTCATTCCTGATTCAGGACAAACAACTGTCTTAAGCATTCTCTTATTGGGAAGCATAATCATGATTTTGTATGAGGAGGGATTCCACTGGGGCTTTTTGAGTGACTTAATAGCACATACATATAGCACTCACTAGGAAAAGCAATGGTGTTGAATTTATAAATCCTGTGTATTGGACTTTTGAGGTGCTTATACTCATAAATCCCAAATACCAGCCTGTAGTTTCCCAGATTACTCATCTGTTAAGTAAATTGATGAACCTTAATATCACTCTCCAAAACAGCTGTACTGCAGTCATTCACCATTACATTTACATGCATTCAGATGTCTCTGTTTAATGTCAGCAAAGAAAAGTTCTGATTTTTCAGTTTTTAGAGTTCTGTACTCTTGATTTTAAGCAGTCCTCTTTTTTTCTTCTTCCAACGTGAAAGTAAATGGATTGGACTTATCTGTGTTTTAGAGCCATAAGAAAGTGGGAGCCTTATGGAGGGAGGCTGACCTCAGCTGGAAGGACTTTTTACCAGAAGAGGAAGATGTACATAATTTTCTTTTGGAACAGGTAAGATCAAGGCATGTGTTTTCCTGTTTGATAGTAGTTGGCCTGTTTCACAGAGGAAATGAAGGTAATTTTATTAGTATTTCAGTAATTAAAATTAGATGAAAAGAAAAATCTTGGTCAAGGTGGCATTGTAGATTCATGTTCTGAGTCCACCCCAACTCCACACTCATTAAATAACAGGTAAAATAACAAAAAACTTAAAAGACCTAGCCACACTTAGCAAACAAGCTACATATCTCTATGAGCCGGAAATGACATAAATAAAGCAGTAGTAATAGGGCTGAAACTGCAGATGTTTTGTGCTCTGGGTCGGAGAACAGGCAGAGGCAGCCAGAAGTTATTTCTGTGGGGTAATGGAGACTAGAATGTCCCTTACAAGGTAGAGAATTGAAGACAAGCTTACTGCATCAAACCAGGTGGGACTCGGTAGATAAATAAGCACAAGGAAGTAGCCACGGTCTTGCAGCCACACCTTTAGGTAGGTTGCTTACAGACTTGGCAACTGAATCTGGGCATCCACAATATCACAAGGTGGAAGCTTCCACAGCCAATATAATTAGGTCCTAAATGAGGAATTATGAGGGGTCAGGTAGGGGAAACCATAAAACTGTTAGACTAAGAATGACAGAGAAAGAAAGCAAAACTCCCTCTCAAAATGATCCTGTGAAACAAACTCCTAAAACACATGAAGAAAGCTAAAGACAGCCAACAAAATCAGCAATAAGAAGATAAAGTCACTCTAGATGAAAGAAAATAGTAAAGCAATATGAAATTATTGTGGGTAAAGATATATTAGGTTACTATGGACTTTAGCTTCATTTTTGGTTGTAGTCTGCACACTCTGGGGAACGCTCCTGCCACAACAGTAAGAACCTGCATGAAGCATAATTTCTGTTACATTGCTGGGTTCGTAGAAAATGGAAGAAATTTCCAAGGATGAAAAAAGAAGAAGGGAAAAAAAAAAAAAGCAGAGATGAAATTTGAAGTCTGAGCAGTAAGCATATGTCAAGGGCATGTTGCCCTAAGGGCAAACGCTTTTATCGGTGCTACCAGAGATCTTGGAAGAAAGTTGAATTGGTCTCAGGTCAGTATTATTCTGGCTCCCGGAAAAACAAATACCAGCAAGGTCACCCATGGTGGACAAGTTTCAGCAGAGCTTCCGGACTAAGACAGAGTAGGAAGAAAGGCCTAGCAATCTACTTCTGAAAATTTGCCAACGAAACATGTATGGATCACGAAAGAACATTGTCTGACTCACTTACTTTGGACACATCATCAAGAAGGATCAATCCCTGGAGGAGGACATCATGTTTGGTGAAGTAGAAGGCCAGCAAGGGAGACCCTCAGTGAAATGGATTGGCACAATAGCTGCAGCGATGGACTCAAACATGCCAGTGATTGTGAGGATAATGGAGGACTAGGCAGTGTTTTGTTCTGTTATACATAAGGTCACCAGGAGTTCACTCAACGGCAGCTATCTAACCATTATATAAATGTCGAGAGGCACCCTGGTTTGAAGTCAAACAAAGCAAGATTCAGATTCCAGTTTTCTATGACTTACTATGTGACTTTAAGCAAATAACTTGACTTCTCTAAATCTTAGATTTCTCGTCTGTAAAATGCTAATAATATACCTACCATGTAGAGTTTTTGTGGAGATTAAATGAGAATGTTTAAGATGCACCTCGCACAGAGAGATGCTCGATAAATTATGGATGTTGCTATTTTGTTATTAATAAAAATGTTTAAAAGCCATATTAGATAAAATGAGGTTCCAGAGAACTTGGCCTTATGTATCCTGACTTTCAGCTTTCTTCTAAAATAGTTGCCCTTTTTTTACAAACCCCGGAGCATTCTCCAAGAGATAGTGGTGATCTGACCCCTAAATCCAAACTCCAGCCTTCTGGTACCAGGAAGATCATGTAACTTGTACAGAAACACAAGGGTTCTAGGAAACAAATCTTTCTCCAGTGACCAACATAAACCTTACAGCTTACCACTGACTCCTTTGGCAGTGGTAAAGCCTTTCATTTTCAAATTTTTGTATCATATTTTATTTTATTAATGGGCAGTGTACTTCATGTTTGTTTTTTGTGTTGTTGTTATTGTTGTTAATTGCTCTTAGACCTGATATTATTTTTGTAGGTTTGGGGTAGGTTAAACAGGAAGCCTTAGGGTATTAGAATAAGCTTGGAGACTATTTCAAGGTTATGAAAAATTGATTGCTTGTTCTGAAAAGAGATTGCCTTTGTTTTTGTGTGTACATTGGAGTGTAGGGGGTAGGGTATTTGTGAACACTGAATCAGAAAAATTGTTCACAATGTTTCTAAAACTCATAGGGAAATATTGTTTAGAGATGCTACGTAAGTGGTAAAAATAATCAAAACAAGATGATGAAAAAACACAGAATTCAAAATAGCAGTTTCTTCTGTGTAAATGATGGATAGGGTATAGGAACATACCAGGATCTTCAAAGGTATCTAGAAAACCTTATGTGAATAGTTTTTAATATTTTAGTCTTTATGATTTTTGCATAATGAAATTTCATAAAGCAAAGCATACCTGCATACCTCATTGCCTTATACCCTTGAAAATTACCAGTAATTTTGATTATAGATATTTTAACTATTCATTTAAGAGTTAAACGATTATAACGCCATTTCTCACGCTTGGATTCAGGATGGTCAGGAGTTATCTGAAGGACTTAGTGAAACCAAAACTACAGCAATTTGACAGCTGCTATTTAGTGATACTGATACAAACCTTAGGCTACACAAATGGAGTTGAATTGTACCCTTGCCTAGTACTGCTGCCCCATCTTAAAGAGCTGTGTGACATCCAAGAGCAAAATTGAAGCTCACAATGATTCGGAGATAAGCATAGCTAGAGAGATAATTGTAGGGGATTTGTTTGTTTGCTTGTTTTTTAAGAAGCATTAGAGATACATAATGATCTCACGGAGTGGGAATCTTTCAGAACTACAAATACAAAATGGTTCCTGGTAATCATTTTGATTCCATGTAAAATAGAATATATAGCCCGTGGCTTTGTTACTCTTTGGGTGATTATAACATTGAATTATGTTAATATGTTTAACATTTTATGTTACAGAAGTTGGACTTTATAGAGTCTGACAGTTCCTGTTCCTCTGAAGCACTTTCAAAGAAAGAACTCACTGCTGAAGAGCTATATAAGCGACTCGAGAAACTCATTATTGAGGACAAAGCAAATGATGAACAGATCTTTGACTGGGTAGAGGTATAAAGACTGCGTCACTTTCCCTGATAACTCTGCAAAAAAAATTCTTGTGGGATCCCCTTAATCCATATACCCAACCTTTTCCCTCATAGGAGTTTTTAATCTTAGGGAAGTTAGCTTTTATTTTTACATACATATTTTAAACTCACTAAAACTTTCTATTTTTATAAGATTCACAGTCTCTTTTAAAGTTGAGTAAAAATAATTAGAACATAAGCCATTTCTGTGGGTCTCACATTAGTTTCTCATACACTCTACATTTTTACCATTCCACAATTTACATTCCTTTCTGAATGCCCTCACATTTTAAATACTATACTGGATAAAATTAATGTAATATGTTGTTATCAAGTAAGCTCTGACTCATAGCGACCTTATGTATAACAGAACGAAACATTGCCTAGTCCTGTGCTATCCTCACAATCATTGCTATGTTTTATGAAATCTATTGGCTTACATTTTCACATTAACGTTGTCTTCTGAAAATACTACACCTTAGTTATCTTGTGTTGTGGAGTTCGTGTTGATCATGTCTACTTTTAATTTGTTACTGTATTCCTTTGAATAATAATTTTTGTTTATAAAGTTGTGTTTTATTTGTGCATATTTTTCATGAGATCATAGAGTAATCAGAGTTGAAAGTAAGCTGTAAAGGGCTAGTCTAGGTCTCTACCTCATGTATAAATCCTCTTTTGTAGCTGTTCTAATGGTGGTTGTTTCTTCAGCCACTTCCAGGCATTGAAAAATAATGAAGCATCTGATAATTTGATTTTGTACCTATTGTTCCTCCGTATCTACACAGGATAATAAATCTATCTTCACCTCTAGTTAAGAACCTTTTAAATAACTGGAATAGCCTATCATTATATCCTTGTCTTCCTCTCTAGATTCTTTTCACCCTCTCTTGAAACCTTGATATTCAGGCCATCTATCAGTCTAGTTACTCTTATCTAAGCATAGCCTGGGCTTTCAACATACCTCTCAAAGCGAGATGTGCAAACTGAGCGTGATCATCAGAATGGTCCAACAATGTATGGTCAGGCGGTACTAATGCGTTTCGGGTCTTGTATTCTATCCTCTGGCAGCCTTTCCACACTGAATTCAAATTGCTCTTTCAGTCATTCAGTACCCATTCTTTTATATTCTGTTGTTTAGCCATTTCTCTCCCATTCTGAACTTAACACATTTGTTTTTTGAACCAAAATGGAGGGTATTTAAATTTATTTCTGTTGATATTCATCTTCTTAAACACAATTTGAGTCTCTCATGACATTTTTGGGATGCTTGTCATCTTTTTTACTTTGTATCATCCATGCATTTCATTAACATGCCAGTTGTGTCCTCATCCAAGTTATAGGTAAATGCATGATTGGGCAGGGCTAAGGATAAAGCAACATACCTTCAGGGACCACCCTCCCCACCCCCATGGCTGTTAATTTATTAATTCACTTCACTCCACTGCCTAGCTCACCTTTTCACTTTGCCCGCAAGGAGATACCTGTCATTACTTTATCACATGTCTTGCTGAAGTCCAGAGAGTTATATCTGTATCCTTCTTCTGAGCTCAGAAAAGGAGGTTACACCTACTCCTCACTTATTGACTATCTTGTTATCCAACATTTCGCATTTACGACAGTAGTAGAAAATCTGTCTGACTGTTTTGTGTATTAACAACGTATGTGTGGCGGTAACAAATGCTGAGGTGCAAGGTGAGAGTAACACTGGCTGTGATGGTTAAGGTTATGTGTCACCTTGGCTGGGTCATGATTCTCAGTGGTTTGACAGTTATATAATTATGTAATTTAGCAGTTATGTAATGATGTAGCCATCTTCCATTTTGTGATCTGATGTAGTCATCCTCCATTTTCACATAACAACCTAGTCTTTGGAACCTACCCATGTCGGTAAGTGAGGAGTGGGTGTAGCTCAGCATGACTTGTTTTTCATAAATTTATGCTGCCTCTTAGTATAACCATCTCTTTCTTCTCTAAGATTTTTAAGCCATTCATGTGACAAGTTCATTCTAGAAATCAGCATAGAGTCAGCATCAGGCTTTCTGGTATGTTATTGGTATCATATACATTCTTTTCCCTATTTGGAAGTCAGGTCAGCATTTACATATTTAGCATTATTCTCTTTCTCCATGATTTTTCATATATCCCCATCAGTTTAGCAACTTGGTCTTGTATTTTCTCATTTATTGAAAAATGATGCTGTTTTTATCTTTTCATCCACCTTGGGCACCGTTTCTTTCATGTCAGTGTTTATTCTGCCTTCTCCAGATCAACAATTATTCTCCTTAAAGAGAAGATAAAGGGTAAATTTTACATAATGTTAATTATACCTAGTAAAGCTGACTTTTAAAAAAGGAGAGAGACAACAAAAACATAATAGTAACTGAGCTCACAATACATACAGACTTTTGTTACACAGTGTTGGTTACCAGTAAGTATCACATAAATATGATTTTGCTTTTCTATCCCAATTAGCAGATCCATCTTCCTTCTTGTTTTTGCCCTTTTTTGTTAACATCTGTGTGTATTCCATACATCAGTGTTCCTGACACTTTTCTTTAGGTCTTTTCTACTATTGAATGCTAGAGTTACAATATTTGGCTCTATTTAGTAGAAGAGATATGCAGTTTGTTTTTTTATAACAGAAGAAAAGTCAAATGGTTTGGAAGTGATATTTATTGTCTCATAACATTTAGCTTGAAATTTAATCCTTTGGGGATTTCATGTGATATTTGGTACTGGAAATAGCTCTTTCAACCTGTTTATATTGTTGAGCCAAAAAGTAATGATGGCGGGGGCGGGGGGGAGTAATAGTAATAGTGTGTTTATATTCTCTCACTTCTTCTTCAAAAATAATTGTCCAGACTTAGCAGAAGTAATTTCTTTGGGATTAGACAAGCCTGGCTTCAGCCTAAATAAAGTATTTTTAAAGGATTAGAAACCAACAACTGGCTATAATGTGTAAGTCATCATGAAGCTTTTCATATGTGGCTCTTTTCTCCTTCCTACTCCCTACCCCCTGTCCCACAACCTTAACTGTAAGCAATGGCACCACGGATTCCTATTCTGTGGGAAAAGACTGTTGGTGAAACCTGTTACTGTAGCACAGCCCTCCATGTTCAGCTCTGCTGGTATCCTGCAGAGCTGGCCATCTGACTTGTTAATCACTCTTAACTCTCAAGAAACTATCAGTTCCTCCCAGGTAATGTTTGAGGTTAGGTATTCCACAAAGACAGAAGTGCTGGTTACTCTACCTCAGTTCTCAAAGTCTTAAACATTAAACTAATTTCCAAATATCTTTGAAATTGTTAGGTTTCCAACGTACAAGTTTATAATGACTACTTTAATTTTTCCTGGCCAGTGCCTTTAAGGAGCCCTGGTGGCACAGTGGTTAAAGCACTTGCCTAACCAAAAAGTTGGCAGTTCAAAGCCAACAGCTGCTCTGCAGGGGAAAGATGTGGCAGTCTGCTTCTGTAAAGATTTACAGCCTTGGAAACCCTATGAGGCAGTTCTGCTCTGTTTTATAGGATCATTGAGTCTGAATCAACTCAATGACAGTGAGTTTGGTTTTTGGTTTAATCCTTTTAAGGCTGATCCTTTCAGTGGAAAGTACCATGCTGTGCTATTAAAAGAAGCTGACACAATCATTAATTCTGTTCACAGGCATAAGCAATGTAAACTTTGAAAAAATATTTCAAATACCTGCTCAGAAAATGTCTTCTGTTTGTTTTTTCCCTTTTGCTACTCATCTGGCTTAGTACAACGTCAAATAGCAACAAGATAATAAGCTCTTACGAAAAAGAAACTAAAAATAAATTTGGGGACCCATTTACTCTATTTAGCATCTCTAAATACATTTTCTCCTGCCATTTTTAGAAAAGAGTAACAATTTTCTCACCACCTGAAAGGTTTGTTTGAGACAGTGCTTGAGACTAATCTTTAATTCACATTAAAATGAAAACAAAGAAAGTAGTGTTGGCACATGTAAGAATGGTTGCACACTACTGAGAAAGTAGTTTTTACAATACATTACACTTGTCGTTTGGTTGTTCTTCTAAATGTATTGACTTAAATAGATCATCTTAATGTGAATTATTTATTGGGAAGGAAGAATAGCTTTTTAAATGGTTGCCCTTCCAAATGCGCATAGTACACAGCACTGTATTACTGGATGAGCAGAGAATAGGCAGTGATAAGCTCTCTGAAAACTAAATAGTGGTAACTGAAAAATTGTCAGAAAGAATTGGTGATAGTTAAACTGTTTTCCAGTGAATCAGGAGATTAATATTTGCAAAGAGCTTGAATGTGACTCTGTCTGCCCTTAGTGTCAGATCAACCCTGGTTTAGGGAGATAATTTCTCTGGTGTGCTGGGTAACCTCTAATTGTTCCATTTACTTTTGATTTCAGGCTAATCTAGATGAATGCCAGATGAGTTCACCTACATTCCTTAGAGCTTTAATGACAGCTGTTTGTAAAGCAGCTATTATAGGTAAGTAACATTTCTGAAGGCAACTGTTAACATCTAAAATACCCAATATGTCAGCTACTCAGCTGCTGATTATATATGTCTGAATTTATATCATCTTCACAACTTGCCCTATATAGGTCAGTTTCTGTATTAACGGGTGCCATTTTTGTCTTTATTGCATGACTGTCTCAAACAGAGAGGTGAATAGGTGCTCTGCCTGCAGAGAGCCCTGAGTGTCTACTGTAGGTCTTGTGTTCTTCAATTCAGTAGAAAGTTACTGCATGCTCTTTGAGTTATTTTAGATTCTGTTGCTTGTGACTTTTCTCTTACCTTTTCACCTCCAACATTCTAGGCCTCTTTCTTCTATTCATGAATGATAACAAATAGGTTGAATATTCTTAAACCAATATCAATGGAGGGCTATTCTCATTAGAAAAGTCACTTTACGTAGATACATATATGAGGAAAGAAGGTACCCACTATCCCTCCTGCTTTACATTGACTTTATTTTATATGAGACAGTTTTATTGAATGTTTATGTATTACATACATGGATAGGATTAGGATTGGTAGAAACCCTAAGTATTCCAAGCTGCCTATAGTATCTAATATTTAATGAGGATATGCACTTGGTCTAACATGTCTATCACTGAAGTGAAAAACAAATCCATCACTCAAAAGATGTCTCAGAATTTCAGGTCTACCACTTGAGAGGATAGTTTTCTGCCATGTAATTTAGCTCCAGATTTGTAATTTAAGGTTTCATGTCAGATGGAATTTTTTTTCAATGTTTGTTTTTTAATGTGGTGAATAACAAGCTAAGCAGAAAGTCTTTATAAAAATCTTTTAAATTATTCCCAGGACCTGTGAACCTATAAGACTTCGGTGTTTTAAAATCAAAGTTGGAAAGTACAAAAAGTTGCTTTTAAAAACACTGTGTCTTAGTGATGACTTACAAGGAAAATAAAACCTTGTATTTCCTGGCAGTGAGAATGCTTTCCTCAGCCCCTTCTTATCATGTTTGTCCCCCAGAAGGCCTGACTCTGAGCTGCTGGGATGGTTTAGGTTTGTTGTTTGTGACTGTCACAATTAATCCTTGTCTTCCTATTGATAATAAATGGTTTCAGTTCTTTTAACCTTCTGAAAAGATTTGCATGAACTATCACTTTAATTTTCTTTTTAATGTTGCTTTTGTAGTTTTGAATGTCCTAAAACCACTGTCAATGTTTCATTATTATTAAAGATAAATAATTGGGTGCACTACTCTTGAGGGAAACCATACTCAAAACATATCCCCCCTCCCATGTTTTGATTATTTCAGAGACATATCCCATTAAAAACTTCAGAGCATTTGGGATATCAAAATCTTTGCCTTGGGCCTCTTTGCCTCCTTCCTCTTCCCTTACAGAGTTATGTGTGTCTTGTCTACTCAGAACATTAAAAACGGTCTGTATGTTAACTCCTTAAATATAATGCCTAGTTCTTCTATCACCTCTAGCTGACTGCTCTACCTTCCGAGTGGACACTGCTGTCATCAAGCAGAGAGTGCCGATTTTACTCAAGTACCTAGACTCAGATACAGAGAAGGAACTGCAAGCACTTTATGCACTACAAGCATCAATAGTAAAACTTGATCAACCTGCCAGTAAGTTTACTTCATGTTAACAGTTAACACAACCAATGGGTGAGGTTTATCTAGATCAAGAGATGGCTCAGAGTTTGAACAGTGGACAGTAGAAGAATCACTAGGTACAAAAACTGATAACCAGCAGCTTTAATAAATCTGAATTTTTTATGTACTTGACTTTTATGAGTAAATGACAACAGGAAAATTAGCTTATGTTAGAGAGTTAATCCTCATTTTAGGGTAAGTCTATCTAATAAAACTTTCTGCAGTGATAGAAATATATCTGCACTGTCCAATAGAATCACCACAAGCAACATGTGGCTGTTGAGCACTTTAAATGTAGCAATTGTGACTGAGGAACATAACTGAATTTTACTAAATTTAAATAGGCACATGTGGCTAGTGGCTACTGTTTTGGGCAGTGTAGGTCTAGGACATCTTTTGACATTAGCATACATGCAGTAAATCTTACACCTTCTTTAATATAGGTTGTAAGTATTAATGAAAATTAGTTAATAATCTTGAGGATAATACTCTTCAAATCCTCAAATGACAAAGACAGGCCTTAAGTATGTTAACCATGTTGTATTTACGAAGGAATTTTAGAATAGTTTTCAGTTAAGGATTGTGATTAATTCTTGACTAACTAGACAAATAAGGTAACCTGAACACCCAAGTCTTAGTGATACTGGTCCATTAGCTGAGTGCTATTAAAATTTGAAAACTCAGTTGAAATTTATGAAAGCAGATAATACATGGCTGTTTTAGAGCCTTGGCACTGAAGTAGTTCATAGTTCTTGGCACTTCTTTACATTGTAGCTTTTGCAAAATTTTCCCTTCTTTCCCTAGTGCTGTTGAATCCTTCTGGGGAATAAAGGAAAAGATTAAAACAAATTATCCTTAGACTGTAACTTAAGAGACATCTAAGTCTGAATCAGAGAATGTAATCTGATTTTGTTGTCTTTCTCTCAAGACCTTTGATAGGTCATTTAGCACCATGGCTTCCTTTTTTCACCTCTTATAGGAAGAGGGCACTAACTTCTCAAATCAGATGGTTAAGTGGGTGGATAGAATTGATGCTGTGTGTTCAGTCAGTCAGATTAAAATATCTTCCATATTTATCAGCTTCAGTGATCCCTGGAGAGATAGTTAATTCTAGATTTACCACCAATAGAACCCTGGTCACTTGCTTCCATTTTCGCTTAGACCAACTGGGGTTTAGAAAATGAAAAGTGACTTCAATATTAGCTTGACTGATATAATTACAAAGACAAATTTAAAGAAAAGTTTTAATATAATTAATTCTAAACCTAATATTTATTAGCATGTATTGTTTACTGTACTGCCTCCCTCCATTATTACCAGAGATCTGACTATAAATTAATTTTAAGAGCCTATAATGAAGGTAGATACACACACACACACACACACACACACACACAAATTAATTTTAAGAGCCTATAATGAACACACACACACACACACACACACCCCTCTATTGGAGCTTAATTTTCGTTTTTTTTTTTTTGAACAATAATAGCCAGTGAGAGGAAAACAGAATTGTAATATGATAGTTTGGGTATTAAAAACAAAACAACTATAGTTTCACTGGATAAAATCTAGATAAGATAGTTTATGCCTATGTTTTCCATCTGAAGGATTATTCTTTTCATTTTTAAAACATAACCTTAGGAGGGGGTAAAAGTATACCCTGCCTTTTTTAATCCAAAATTTGTAAAAATAATGTATTTTCACTGTAAAAATTCAAACAATGGAGAAATGTATAAAGAAGAGAGTAAAAAAATTACTCTTGCATTTAATTTTTAAAGTGTTTGAGACCTATAAAATATCAAACAACTCACCAATACCAGAAGATAGTTCAGATTGATCAAAATAATAGAAATAAAAAATAATTTAGACTTTTTCTCTTCTTTCCTCTTCTTTAGACAAGTTGTTGTGCTGCTGTACTATCACGAGCTATTATGATGAATTGTCACTAATTTTCTGGGGGAATTAACGTGCATTCATTCACTACTTTGAAATACATGCTTTCTTTTGCAACTACAGTGCCTCCAAAACTAAGGGTTTCTTTTCACCCCATTGCAGACTTGCTAAGGATGTTTTTTGATTGCCTATATGACGAAGAGGTGATCTCTGAGGATGCCTTCTACAAGTGGGAGAGCAGCAAGGACCCTGCAGAGCAGAATGGGAAGGGTGTGGCCCTGAAATCTGTCACAGCATTCTTCACGTGGCTGCGGGAAGCCGAAGAGGAATCTGAGGATAACTAAAACTTCAAATACACAAAACGAAACAAAAGAAACAATTTAAGTATTTTTTTAAAAAGTTTCACGTCTTCGCCAATCACAGTGCAGCAAGGCCAATTCTCGCAGAAACCCCCACGTGTGCACGAGTGGGAGAGGGAAAAGAGAAAAAAAGGTGATCATGGAGGAAAAAGGTACTGGAAAAAGTAAACTTCAAACCTGAGGGCGGGAGCACTAATACCAAAATACATGTATTATTTATAGAAAATATTTTCTGTTTTAATCTTTTCTTTTTAAACGAGGACTCATACTTTAAAGAAACACATTTGTTCAGCAAAAAAAAAAAAGTTGAGAACTTTTAATTTATTTTAAGGACTGCAAATGCCAGTGTAATTTTTTAATTTGCAGTTTCTGTAAACAACTTGTATAATAGAAAAGCAGAGAAATAAATTTCCCTCCCCTTCAGATGCACCTCAAGTTTGTTTTAAAAGCATAGTAGTTAGTCCAGATTTAAGAAGGTTTGGGGTGACCAAGGTAAGAATGATTTTTTTTTTTTTTTTTTTTTGGTATCAAATCTTTCTGCCTGCCTCTCAGCTTGCTTCAGAAAATAAAAATCACAATAGTTATCAAAACATACATAACCTTGGAACAGAAGGAAAACATTTGTGAAAATGCTGTGGACCAGAGAACTCCAAGAATTGTTTTAAAAAGTGCTACCCTGGGAAAAGTACTCTTAATACTTTTGGAATCTTTAGAGCAACTTTAAGGCTTGTAAATACATAGAACAAATATTTAAAAAAACAAAAACAAAAAGAAATTGACTCAATACTATTTCTTTTCATTTTCAAAATATAAAGAACAAAATAAAGACAGACATTGCAAGTTTAAAAGAAAGTAAAACGACTTCTCCTTTTGACAGCTGCTGCATGTGCACCCCATCTCTGGGAGGTGCTTTCTGGCTATTCATTGTCTAATCCACAACTCTCCTGAGGGGGTGTGTGTGTGTGTATGTGTGTGTGTGTGTCTGTCTACAGTCAGAAAAGACAAGCTGCTTTGTGGTTAAGGAGGGCATTTAAGCTTGGGTGGGAGAATCACTCTGGAAGGTCAGAGAAAGCTTCTTTCCAACACCAACCAGAAACACATTCCGGGTGGGAGCAAACCTAAGGGCAAGTTTTTAAATAGTTAAGTGTTCCACTGTGTGTTTCAAGACTCAGGACACTTTGAGACCTAAAAAACTCCAAAAACTGATATCCTTTCTCCTTGCCCACCAGCCACTATCACTGATTTTCAAATTTTCCATCAATTGCCTACAATGCTTAAGAAACCCAAAGATGTCTTCTAAAGAATGAAAGAAACCAAAGCTCAATTATGCTTTTTAAAAAGTAGGGGTGGGGTTTAAAGCCAAACCAATGCCATGTGTGAAAATCACATGGTTCCCCAACTCCAAGTTGACTCAAGTCATTCTGGTGAGTATAAAACCAAGTGTGTTTTGGGCGCGTCTGTTTCTCCCATAGATATTGGAGTGCTGTGCTTTTTTTTTTCCCCTCCTTTTATAAAGTTGCAGTCTCTACAGATGGTTTTCCACGGCAATTGTTTGTGGGCTGTCACCCTGCAAAATGTATTTATGAAGAAAGCCAGGAGGCTGCTCCCAAATAAATAAAAGTCTTTGTATTTTGTATCTGGATAACCAAAGATTTCTTCTGGCTTTCCTCTCTGAAGAAGCATCCACATTAAGAGACTTGGCAAAACTTAGCACAAGAACAAAATTTTTCATAGCAATAAAATATTTTCTCCAGAGTATGGCTGAACACAATGCAGAATCCAGCTGCATGAGCCCACAGAGCACATTCTGCAGTGGTGGAAAGCTGTTACCAAAGAACCAAGTTCTGAAAGTCTTGTGACAGGCATGTGACAGCATCTTCCATACAAGATGGGACCTGAAAATCTGTTTGGGGTCTGGCTACAGGCTCTGCCTAGGAACCCTCAGTTGGAGGAAGCAACCTGGTTCTGTGATTTGCCGAATTTTAACAGTCTTCAGAATCAAAGTGCAGAGAATTCTGACCCAGGATTCCCCTCCGAGCGCTGTAGGTTTTTAGAAGATATTGACAGCACTCATGGGTGAGGGGTTGGGTTGTTGGGGGAAGGCAGGAGGTGACTGCCTCTTGGGAGTCAGTGGCTGTTGCTTACAGCAGTTTCAGACAGTAAAGATAGCCCTAGTCATCAATATTTTAAATATGGACAAGTGTACGGAAGGGAGGAGAGAGAGAGACATAGCATTTTGGAAAAAAAATTAAAGCACTGAAAAAAGCTCAGTTATAAATATCTCTTGTACAATAGAAATAATGTTTGAAATCTTACCAATAACATGAAGTGTGATGAAGAGACTACGAAGTTACTCTTTGGGTATCTTGTTGCTTTACACACAGAATGTTGTATAGGACTCAATGGTTACCTAATGGAAAATAAGAGTAAAGTGGGATAATTGATCCCTACAAATATCAATTGAGAGTCCCTAGATGGTGCACGTGGTTAACGCAGTCGGCTACTAACCTGAAGGTTGGAGGTTCAGTCCACCCAGAGGCGCCTTAGAAGAAAGCCTGGCAATCCACTTCTAAAAAATCAGCCATTGAGAACCCTATGGAGCACAGTTCTACTCTGACTCATGGGGTCACCATGAGTTGGAATCAACTTGACAGTAGCTGGTTTTAATATCAACTGAACTGCAAAAAGAATTGTTATGGTTCTTGCCCTCTTCATAGTCCTTTTACTGGGAAGCGGGGTTTGGGGGTTTTTATTTTAAAGTAATAGCACTGACATACTGCACTACCTCAAGCTGTAGCACAAGCTGTTTCATGCATATGAACAAACAGACTTTGGGAACAGGTACAATGCCTTTTAGTTCATTAATTCAGGGTTCTTCCTGCCTCTATAAAAACCAACTTATGGCTAATCAGTAAATTAAATAAAAATTCTGTTATTTCTAGCAAAGGAACATGATGCCAATTTTCAAAATACTTACTTTTCAGTCTTGCATAGACCAATAAGTCAGCTCACAGCCGCATCATGAACTTGCTTCATTCTACAAATATTTTCTGAGCATATACTAAGGTGTGAGGAGTGTAATAGTGAACATCCTATCCCACTAAAGAGTGTCTGCCCCTCATTATCCTGGCAGATCTTTGATTTGATTCTTGTCTTGTTCTTATATTTCTAAATACATTCTAGACGATTTGCAATAATTAAACCTGAGACAAGTTTATCTATTCTTGATTCACTCTCCGAACAAGTTCTCATTCTGGGGTTTTTGACATTATCATCTTTTTGTTTAAAATGCTTTCATTCAAATCAAAAGTAGTCTATGCTTTAAAAAAAAAAAAAAAAAAAACTTAGGCTATTGGATATGATTCTGTGTTTTCATTACTCAAGTTTGGTTCTTTAATTGGAGGGACCTAGTTTTTCAGTTTTGACCATGCCAGTGTTCCCCATTTTGTACAGAGTAACAGTTTGTGTTGTTTTCTTCTTGATGGCCTTTGCTTTTGTTTTTATTGATACAATTCATATACCATAAATTTCACCTTTTTTTTTTTGTTTGTTGTTTTTTTTTTAATTGTACTTCAGGTGAAGGCTTACAAAACAAATAGTTTCTCATGAAACAGTAGTACACATATTGTTTTATGACATTGGTTAACAACCCCACAACATGTCAGCCCTCTCCCTTCTCAACCTTTTTTTTTTTGGTGAAAAATTTCACCTTTCTAGAGTGTACAGTTCAGTGGTTTTTAGTATATCAAAGTTGCACAACCATCATCACTAATTTCAGAACATTTCATCACCTCAAAATAAACCCCTACCCATTAGTAGTCACTCCCCATTCTCCACCTTTCCCCAGACCATGGCAACCACTAATCTACTTTGTCTCTATGGATCTGCTTATTCTGGACATTTCATATGTAAGTGGAATTATACATTGTATTGCCTTTTGTTTTGGCCTCCAGTCCAACATTTTGCAAATGATCAAACTTCACAGGTGTTTGCCTGCAACATCAGAGACAGCAGTGGTTAGGTCCCTGATGTTTGCTTGTCTTCAAGTTTTTATTCCTTAAGTGTAACTTCTTTTGACATAACTTGGCAATATGTTTACAACCATCAGCTAATCCTAAACAAGTTCCTGAGAATTTCCTTTTATCACTCTGCAGATTTGATGTGTATGACCTGGGGTGCCTGACATCCTAGCAACTAGGGCCTGGTCATTTTGACTCTCAGTTTTTGCTACCTAAGTATTGCTTGAGACTGAAATTCCTGCATGAAGTGGAGGCTACTATAGTGTACCCTAGAAAAATTAAGATGGAGCTTGACTTAGAGTTGAAGTCTTAAACTAGAATATGCATGGCTTCTAGTTACTGGTTTTAAGATTAGGATTTAAATATTAGTACTTTTGTTTTTATTGTAATTAATACATTAAAGTCTGACGTTTTATTCTTTTCATTGAGGCACATTTGGACACTGACTATTGAGCTTCTTGAGGCTGCTTACTTGTCATGAGAGTAAAATTAGCCACGTAAGGAATAAAAATACCTTGAGACAGAACCTCTGCCAGTTGGTTGCAGTTCATTAGTTTTATAGAAGACCTCATTTTCTATTCAATAAATTTAATCTATAGGTCTCCATATCCTCCAGTGGCTTAGGGAAAGATACTGCATGGTAACATATATGCTTCAAATATTACATGTATCCCTCAATGGGAAAAATGATCATCTATTAGAAAAGCTGTCTTGACTGCCCCCCCCAAAAAAATAATAGTCTTTCTGTACTACCAAATCATGGAATTAAAGAATCAAAGACATAAGTTACAGAGAATCATGTGCCAAATTTTTTAAAATGCTTTTCATAAAGTAACTTTAGACTTACAGAAAAGTTGCATAAAGAGTACAGAGAGTTCCATATAGCCCTTACTTAGTTTCCCGTAATGTCAACACCTTACATGATCATGGTACATTAGGCACAACTAAGAAACCAACATTAGTACATTACTGTTAACTCCAGACCTTATTTGGGTTTCACTAATGTCATTTTTCTGTTCTAGGATGCAATCCAGGATCCCATATTGTATTTAGTCATCATGTCTCCTTAATACTATTTGAGTCTTTCAGTCTTTCCCTGTTTTTTATGACCTTGACAGTTTTGAGGAGTAGTGGCCGGGTATTTTGTAAAATGTCCCTCAATCTGAGTTTCTCTGTTGTTTTTCTCTTGATTAGGCTGGGTTTATGGGTTTGGGGTAAAAATACCACAGAGGTGAAGTGTCTTTGTCGTCACATAATATCAGGAGGTATGTGATATCCACATGACATCACTGGTAACATTAACCTTAATCACTTGGTTAAGGTAGTGTTTGCCATATTTCTCCACTCTAAAGTTACTTTCATTTTTCACCTTCCTTACTCTAGTCTGTTCTTTGGAAGCTACTCACTGAGTCTAGCCCATACTGGTGGAGGGAGGTGGGAGTGGGAGAGGATTAAGCACCGTCTC